TGTTATATAATGGTCCTCAAAGGCAAAATCGCGTGGAATATCTGAGCGAAGATGGTAAAACAGTCATTCAACAAATAATTTACTGAAAATTTATGAATTATTCTGAATCGTGCTATACGTTGTTCTGAAAGAAATACACAGAAAGAAAAATCATGATCCCTGTCCTTCCAAAGATTATTATGTCTGTGTATAACTAAAACATACAAACATATGATTAATAAAAATGAAAGGTAGTATTCATTTAGAACCAAATGAGTGATAAAAATAAGTGCTATAGAAGTGAAAAGGTCAAAGTAAATCAGTAGGGTAAGTATTTCAATTTCACTAGAAATTTTGTTGAACAGATGTGATCTGATGTAATTTTAATGAATTTAATGAACAGAAAAAATAAAAGAAAAATAGATTTAAGGTAGGTAAAAATAGTAAGGACAAAATTTTGGCACTGAAAAGGAACATGGTATCTTCAATAAACAAGTATGACTAAAAGTGTGAAAAAAGGCTTTATGCTAGAAAAAAAAGTAGATAAGAATGGAAAAGTATAGCGGGATTACCAGTATAACACATTTGGTAGGCAAAGAAGGATTATGAACAGAAAAATGATGGGAAATGTAATTAAAGGAATCAATTTACATGAACTTATAAAATAAGAATCTATACAAAAACGCAGCACCAAAACTGAGATAACTTATCCACTAAGCTTGCAATCCCTGCACACTTTAGTAAAATGGCAATAGCTTTAAATCTCTCAAAGTTAAAGATACAACGTAATCCGATACAAAACTTACTAACAATCCAATAATGTAATCAGGTGACAAAACAAAGTTTCATGGTTGAAACAGAGCATGATTCTGGGCAGGAAAACAAAAAGTGTTTCTGATTCAAAGAATGAATTTCATTAAAATTATCACAAGGATATATTAAAGGAACACTTAGTGACTGGTAAGAAAACTAAACTACAGTAACAGTAACACTTATGTATTCCTATGGTTGCTAAGGAAAATAGAAAATACGATCACAATGGAATGAGACTGACTTCATAATTCATGTATAAGGGCTTATATACTCAATTGAGTGCTACCTTCTTCAAAGAAATCATTATGAGGCTGACTGTTATGGA